CCAAAGCCATCCCTTATCTCATGCCACTTCCTTCTCTCTATGTGTATAAGACCCGGGGAAGCTGTTGAAGGCACAGCTGCCTTATGGGAGAAAATCCACCCCTGGGCAATGTGGCTGGACATCCCTACTGGCAACTTCATTTACAAATTCCACCAGTGCCAAAGTGCCTTGGGCTAGTGCGGCTTTCTGGGCTGATTTTTTTCTCTCTTCCTTCCTTCTTCTTTCTCTTTCTTTTGCTTTTTAAGACTTTAAAAAAATTATTTTTATTTTTATTTTTTTGCCTAGGCTGGTCTTAAACTTGTGATTCTCCTGCCTCAGATTCCCTACTTGAACTACCACATCTGACTCCCTAACATCCTTTTGTCCTTCAAAGACTCATACAGCCTCCACCCTGGGGTGGGTTGGAGGACAGGCTTCTGGTTTCACTGAGTGGGTGATGCTCATGGGAGGAGCAGGACTCTGGACTAATGGGTGAAAATTCTTGCTGGGGTGACGGGAGAAAGGGAAGATCTGGGGCAGCAGGAGGAAGCAGCCTTGAGGAAGTGCATTGCACGGTTGTGCATGATGAGGCTGCAAATTTCTCCCCTGGCTGCTTACAAAAACGGGCGCTTCTTTTTCATTGTAGTATTAGGGATTGAACCAAAGGCGTCTCATATGCTCGTCAAGCATTCCGCCATTGAACTACACCCTCAGACCTCTTTATTTCGAGACAGTCTCACCAAATCCATTCTGTGTGGTAGGCAAGTCGTTCCCATTCCCAGATGGCAAGGTCCGTAGTACTTGCAAAGGGTTGACAGCTAAGCTTGTGGGCTTATGGTTCAAAGAACCTTGTCCCCAAGGGGCACAAGATGGCTCTTCCAGGGGTCGCAGGAGTCCCTCTGCTTAGCAGACACAGCCAAGAGGGGCTTGTTCAAAGCTGCCCAGCAACACCCACTCGCGATGGCACCAAGCGGCCTGCCAGCGATGGTGATCCAGGTCTCTGTCCGCAGCCTGGATGCCAGGGCACCTGCCAGGCCGGCTCAGGACAGATACTCGCGCACCGTGAGCTCCTTCAGGGTGAAGCCCCTGTGCGTGGGCCTCCGGAGCTGGCTGTCATCCAGCCTGCCCTGCAGCGACGCGAAGTCCTGGCCCAGCGCGTAGGCCAGGCGCACCATGGCGTCCAGCAGCGGCGCGTAGTAGCGGTGGCTCTCGCGGGCCCCCAGGCGCTGCAGCGCGCGCTCGCCCACCGCAAAGGCCTCGGCCGGCCGCTCCAGGTCGCGCAGGCACACGAGCGTGGCGCAGAGCGCGGGCACGGCGGCGGTCGGGCAGTGCGCCGTCAGCTTCTCCTGCAGCGGCACCACGCGGCCCAGCAGGTCGAGCGCGCGTGCGTACTGGCCGGCGCGCAGGCAGCCGAAGGCCTCGCGCAGCTCGGGCCGGGTGAGGAAGTCGGCGAACTCGCGGGAGCGGCGCACGGCTCGCACGGCGTAGAGCAGCCGCAGGTAGTCGCGGAGCTCCAGGCGGCGCTCGCAGATGGTCTCGGCAGACAGGTTCCCGGTCAGGCGCTTGCGCGGGAAGGCCACGTCCTCCAGCTCCGGCCCGAAGCGCTTCAGGAGGGCCTTCTGCAGCCTCTCGAAGTCCGAGTAGCGTCGTTCCACCACCGCCTTGTCGCTGTCGAAGCTCCCGGTCTGGACGATCACGACCTGATACATCTGCAGGCGGAACGGAGAGGCTAGCCTCAGGACACCCCGAGTGCACGCCGTGTGTGTGTGTGTGTGTGTGTGTGTGTGTGTGTGTGTGTGTGTGTGTGTGTGTGTGTGTGTGTGTGTCTCAAAGGACAGCTTGTGGGGAATGGTTCTCACCTTCCACCACGACCTGATACATCTGCAGGCGGAACGGAGAGGCTAGCTTCAGGACACCCCGAGTGCACGCCGTGTGTGTGTGTGTGTGTGTGTGTGTGTGTGTGTGTGTGTGTGTGTGTGTGTGTGTGTGTCTCAAAGGACAGCTTGTGGGGATTGGTTCTCACCTTCCACCATATGGGTTCTGGGTATCGAACTGAGGTGGTCAGGCTGGGAAGCAAGTGCTTTTACTGGCTGAGCCATCTGGTGGCCCCTCTGTCATTTTCGTGCATGCATATAACATACTTTGAGGATCGTCACACACACACACACACACACACACACACACACACACACACACACACCGTACACTTGTGCCTGATCCCCGTTGTACTAGCTAACAGTAAAGGTAGTTCCTGGCAAATGTTGGCCCTAGAATAACAGTGCTTAGAAGCATCTTGGAAGAAAAGGAACTTGCTACTGGCGCTGGAGTCTCTCTTGTTTTTTTTTTTTTGTTGTTGTTTGTTTGTTTTGTTTGTTTTTTATCATAAAAGACAGGGCTCCGAGTTCTGGATTGGGAAGCGTGGGCTGGAACAGGGAGTGCTTGGTGGGACACCCGGACATTTGTTTCAGGTGTAACACATCTAGGCACGTTAGTCTTCGGTTGGTAATTTCACCTCTTGAGCTTCCGGTTACCCCATCCCTAACTCGACGACAGGATTAGTTCCTGTTTTCTACTGCGGATTAAGTGAGTGAGTGAACTCCCTGATGTGAGGGAGAGATGTGCTCAGCATGCACCGGTAGCTACTGTAACCCTACTGGACCCAGTGAGGAGGAGTGGTGGGGTACCCTGGTCCCAGTGAGGTGGGAATGATTGGGGTTGGTGTGACTCCTCTATCTTCCTAGACCAAGCTGATGTCCCCATCTCTCAAAGGTGGCAGCTCCCAGCAGGGCACTTACCACAGCCACAACTAGCCGCTGGAATTCAATAGGAATTCAGCTTCCTTTTGTGTTTACTTTTGTAACTGGTTTTTCTTAATGTCATGTGACACTGATCTTTCATTGAAATGTAATGTTTTTTTTTTTAAAGTAATTTGAATAAAAACCAAGTAAGTAGTTTGGGTGATATCCGCAGAATCAGTGGGGAAGGGGTGCAGATGACAGACACTTGGCATCATGGGATCAGGACCATGACCCACACATCTCTCATCTTCATGGGACCCTGCATGTGGTACCATGAAACCTCCATTTCTTGGAAGACTATGGGTTAGTGTGTCGTGTCCTGGGTGGAAAGTTGAGGCCCCCCTGGACCTTCCCAGGAGCGCTCAGGAGGTGACGACGGGGCTCCATCCCGTCTAAGCTCTGCTCACCACAAACTTGGAGACTCTCCTCTCCTCAATGCGGGCTGAGGTGATCTCAAAGAGCAGCTTGACGTGTCGCCAGCGGCTCTTCTCCTTCTGCCAGTGCTCCTGTAGCTCCTTCGTGGTCATGCTGGAGTTGGAGGTGGGGCTGTCTTGGGTTTCTGGAAGGACAGTGCCTTTAAGGAGTCTGCAATAGGCAGTGCCCTCTTGGCAAGGGATGGGGTGGGGGCAGATGGCTGGGTCTGCTTGGGATGGGCTATCAGAGTTCTGGAAAGGCATACCCTTCCTCCCACCCTCACTGTTGGGGCGTCAGCCGGGCCCCTGTGAGTCTACGTAGTGTGTTCACCACAAATAATCGGGCACTTGACTGCTTCTTGTTATGAAGTGCAGTATGGGAGTGTTGCATCACCCACCTCCGGCCTGCTGATGGGCCATTTTGTAACCATGTGCTCCTGGTCCATGTTTGCTTCTGTACTCCCTACAACGTTGATTCCAGATTTGGCCATGGAGCCATGGAGCCCCTTAGTGCACACCAGTGTAGTGGAGGAAGCTCTGAGGAGGTCATGTTTCAGCCTAAACTGGGGTGGCCCTTACTATACTAACACTTTCAGGGGTCATCTGTCACTTTCTGCTTTTAATTCAGTCCTCCTGTTCCCTTGCCTGGAAACCAAAAGTATTCTGTATTTTTTGTTGTTGTTTTGTTTTGAGACAGGACTTCTTTGTATAGCTCTGACTGTCCTGGAACTCTGTAGACCAGGCTGGCCTCAAACTCACATAGATCAGCCTGCTTCTGTCTCCCAAGTGCTGGGATTAAAGGCGTGTGCCACCACCGTCCAGCTGTCAACAGTGTTTCTTAAGCCTCACTTGAGCCCCACACCTTTCTGAGAATCAGTGTGGTTTTCTACAACACTATTGCACAAATAATTGTGCATTTATTGCAAGAGGCGAAGGCCTGGGAAATCCTTATCTTGTCCTACGTGACTCACATGTCACCCTTCCACCCATCCCTTGATACTGGGGTAAGTGCCTCCCATTTTGTCACAGTAGCCTTTCTGAGGTATTTCTAATTATTTTCAATGTCACTCTGCTGAGCTTGAAGGCTAGGAGAGTATCAGTTTTACTTTCTGTGCTGGGGGCACCCCCCAGGCTTCTGCAGATCCATCTTGAATGGGTGTAAAGAGAGATTATTCCAGGAGATGGCACTATTGCAGGTATTGTCAGTGCTGGGCTAGAACCCATTGGCAGCCACTGTTCCGGAACATGCTATTGGCTTCTTAAGGGAGGCCCCTCGACTCAGGACCCTGGGGCTTTTCTAGGACCACAGCAACATGCTCAGATGTCTCTTCAGCATTTACAGAAAGGGATGCTGGACAATCTCTGGCTTCTTTGTCCCTTGATTGTACAACTTTGTCATGTTACATCTACCCAGTCATGTGATCATACACCCCCTACACCAGATGCTGCTCTTGTTCCCAATCCCTGATCTGCCTCCAAGGGTCATCTCCCACGTAAAGAGCCTGCACCAAATCCTTGTCTTGGGGCTGCTTAGGGGTGACCCCAGTTAAGACAGCTACCCAGCTACCTTGGTGCAGCCATGGAAGAGCTTTAAATGTCTTTGAACTAACTTCTACCTCCCCCACCTCACTGAAACCTAAGCCCTCAAGTTTACCTAAGTGTTCTTCTGGTCCAGGACATGGGAGGTCTGGTCTGAAGGGCAATACTTCTTGTCTGGTCCTTGGTGTGCGTTGGTTTATGAGTCCTGTCCAGCCAGGGCTCCCAGGATGCTCCGAACTTGCCATGCTCCAAGAATGCTAGAGGTACAAGAGGGAATAGTGAGAGCCAACTCACATTGGGGCTCCTGCAGGATCCTGGGGTGCTTGGATTCTGGTTGTAATTTATGCTGGCAAGCATGGAGGAATGAGTGTAATCACCTTGCTTGGTCCTGCACTGCCCACCCAGCCAGATCAAACCTAGCCTTCCCCTGTGATGGGCAGACAGACCCTGAGTGATCCATGGAGTATATGGTTGTTCTGGAGTTCACATAGAGTAGTGTCTGTCAGGTGACAGCAATAACTGGAAATTACCCAGGCGAATGATGCGGGCTAGTGCAGATAAATGTCCCACCACCCAGTTTTATATTACAATGCAGCCCCTGCCCTATCTATCTACCTTTAAGCAAATATTTAATATGCCTAGTTTATCTCATCTGGTTCTTCATACTTCCTTTGTTTTTTTCAAGACAGAGTTTCTCTGCAAAGCCCTGGCTGTCCTGGAACTCGCTCTGTACACCAGGCTGTCCTGGAACTCACAGAGATCCACCTGCCTCTGCCTCCTGAGTGCTGGGATGAAAGACGTGCGCCGCCACCACCACCACCCAGCTCACCCTTCCTTTTTAATAGAGCATGCATAAAACTTTGCCAAATAACAGATAAGGAAACAGGTCTAGCCCTAGGTCTTGTGGTTGGTGAGTGTACAAAGGAACAAAGTGGAATCTTCTCCAAGACAGACACTATCTGTAAATGTTTGTCTTTGCAAGTTCTCAATGCAACCACCCTCCTCTACAGGGGCTGTTTATATTTTCACTTTGTGGTGAGGCACTGAGGCACAGGACTGCCCAACAGCAAGGGCTGAGGTGTGGACTGGGACAAGCCCCAGGTGGCTGACAACAGAATCTTTGCTCTTACTGAAGTGGCCAGGAGGCAGACAGCAGGCCAGCAGGCTTCCAGTGTCCCGTCTGTGCACATAAGGAAATGGATGACTTGGTAGCTTCTCTGTGCCTCAGTGTCTTATAAAACAGGTACAATATCAGAACCCTCCTTCACAGGCTGGTGTGAGGATTAAGTTAGGCCTACCCCTCAAGCTCGGACTCAGGGCCCTTCACACACCAGGGGCTGCACAGTCCTTTCTGCTACTAGGATCTGACATGCATTAGGCGTTTGAGAAACAGTAAGGAAACAACTCCAATGTGCGCTTTTACAGATAGCTGCAAATGAGAAGAGATGTAAAAATATCCTTTCAGATGAGCACATGGCTGGGCACCCTCCTAGGCACAAGGGTTAGGTTTTCTTTTCATCACTGACAAAACAGCTAACACAAAAACAACAGAAGGAGAAAGGGATTATTGTGCCCAGTTTCGGGTTTCAGCTCATCATGGCAGGGAGGGCATGGGCAGAGTGCCGCAGCTCACCTCCAGGTGGCCAGGAAGCAGAGAGGAGGGAGGAAGGGAGAGAAAGGGAAAGGGGGAGAGGGTATGGCTACATTAACAGAGGCTTTTCCCACCTTCTTGATTTTTCTGACGCGTGTGTGTGTGTGTGTGTGTGTGTGTGTGTGTGTGTGTGTGCGCGCGCGCTTACGCATGCCCCACAGCTCATGAAGAGTCTGGAGGTCTTATGGCAGCTTGCAGGAGTGGGCTCTCTCCTTCTACCGTATGAGTCATGGGGCTTGAACTCGGGTCATCAGGCTTAGTAGCAAACACCCTTACCTGCTAAGGCATCTCATTGAACCACACTTCCCTCTTTTTCTCCTAGCCTTTGGGATAGTGCTACCCACATTCAGGGTGGGTCTTCCCCTTTACTTAGTCATCTGTGGAAACACCCCTCAGTCACGTCCAGAGGTATGTTTCTCTTGGCTCCCAGGGTATTGTAAATCCAGTTAAATTGGCAAGATTAACCACCATGGTACAGGAACTCAAAGGGGGAGTAAGGATGTCATCACCTCCTCTCAAGACTTTTGGCCTGGGGAGGCTAGTGGGCCTCGAGCCCATGCCTCAGGAGGCTGTTCTTGATATGACAGATAGAAGGACCCCTGAGCTGTTTTCTGAGTGACTTCTAAGCAGTAGTCCGATAAGTACCTTCAGGGACCCTCCATCGAGCCTCACATTTATAGGTGGGTAAACTGAGGCACAGAGCCGGGGCCTGGCTAACCCAGTGCTGTAAGTGCTTGGATACTCAATAGATCGTGTGCCTTGCCAACCTCTCAGCCCTGTGGAGGAGTCAGGAGACATGGCCTCCAGTCCGGCTGTGAACTTACGGCCCCTGGGTGAGTTATTTACTCTCTTCTGCTTTCCATTTCCCCCTCTCCCTCTGGGAAGGGTGGCTACAGCCTTATTGCACTGGTAAGTGCTGATGCGATGGGTCCCTCGAGTTCTGCTAAGCTAGTGGGTCTCAACCTCTGTAATTAATGCTGCGACCCTTTAATACAGCTCCTCGTGTTGCGGGGACCCCCAACCATAAAATTATTTCATTGCTACGTTATAACTGCAATTGCGCTACTGTTATGAATCATAAAGTAAACATCTGAAGCAGAATATGTGACCCACAGGTTGAGAACCACTGTGCTAAGTACTAAAGCAAGATAGTAGGTGGTCCATACGCTGTCATATTTAATGGAAGTTTTTGGAGACACTGCCACACTGTTTAGCCAAAGCTGCCTGGGACTCACAATCTTCCTGCCTCTGCCTCCCAAGTGCTGGGATTACAGGTGTGTGTCACCACACCTGACTTCTCTAATGGGGACTTAGTGTTTTCTGTGGGTACTCTGCACTCTTCCTCTATCATTTTGTCTGTGAAGCCAATGGTGGCATGTGGAACTGGCCTTAGTGGTCCAGGCCTTTCCAGATCTGCTTTCTTGATTTGGGCATCTGGTGCCAGGGCAGAAGCAGGGAATGTCTCCCATGGGGCCTTGGAAGACCTCAGAAATTTGCCTCCCACCCCACCGCAGCTCCTGTGCATGACAACCATTCTTTCCATCTTCTGGGTGCCTTGCTCCCCACTTCTAGGGCTCCAGCCCTCTTCAGTCCTCCTCTTGGGTACACAGGGCCACTTGCAGAGCCTAGGCCACCTTTCTTGGGGTCTTGCAGAGGGGATGAACATCTAGTAGAATGTAGAAAAAGCCTTGCTCTTCCCCAGAAGACAGAAGAATTGAGAGGCCCTCATTCAAAGAGAAGACGGGAGGAAATGCCAGGAGTGGCAGTTGAGTTTTACTCTAAGCCCCTTTCTTTCTTGGGCAGGTTTCCCAGGTCTTCACTGGAGTGCCATCTGAGGCATGCCCACCTGTCCTGCCAGGGGAGGGTGAGCAGCATGGGACCCCTGGTGCTTCCTTCTCAAGCCTGTTGCAGGAAGTGCTCTCAAACGTGGGTGCGCATCAGAATCCCCGTTGGGATGGAGGGAGGAAGTGCTGGGGGTTCTAACAAAAGCAGGCTGTCTACCCCACAACACCCAGACAGCCTTGGGGTGGGCTCTGGATCCTGTGCTCTGTTTCAGGGTCATCAGTTCCACTCTTTGAGAAACACAAGTCTAGATCTGTTCCCAGGAACAGGAATGGTGCCTGGCATTTCCAAAGGAACCAGGACTAGAGGTGGAAGGGGGTATTCCCAGTTTGCCCCCAGTTTCTAAGGACTGCCCTACAAGTAGAGGCTCTCGCCAGCCTTGATCCCTCCTGCTCTGTCCCCAGCACGTTCCCAGAGGGTCTCTCAAAGAGCTCACTGAGCCTCAGTGGGCAGAAGCCAGCTGAGCTTGGGGTCAAACAGTGACTGACCTGGGATCTTCAGGCTTTGTGGGTCCAGGGGTCCAGGAGAGTCACATGTCCCACTCTGATCTCTGTTGTAAGGTCCAACAAGATGGTTGAGTGTCGTCGGCTGCTCTGCTGAGTTCTCTGTTTGAAAACAGGAAATAGATTGAGTGATCTGCTTCAGAGGTCCTAGTTTATTGGCTGCTGAAAGATGTACACAGGAACTGCACAGAAAAATGTTTCCAGTGCATCAGACAGGCCATGTGGTACAAGGCCACCCACAGGAGGGCAGTTTGACCTCACTTCCTAGCAGCCCTCAGCAGCTCACTGCTTACTAGATGCCTGAACAATCTCTGGCATTTGGAGAGTCGATCCCAAAGTCCTTTATTTTAGTCCTTTCCTGTGGCAATGCCAGAAGACCACAGACTGGAAAAAATTTCACACAAAAAAAGTTTAAAAAGCTAATAGGTCTGGATCTGGGACATCTAAGAGCACAGTGGCAGTGTCCAGTGAGGCCTCTCCTGCCACACGTGACGTGACAGGGCAGAAGGTGGGCAGGCAGGAGGGAGCCTATCTTATATACCCCAGTTTCACAGTGATGGCATGAATCCCTTTATGAAGCCACCCCTCAGAAGGCCTCAACTCCATGGTGTTGGGGACCACAGTCTAACACAAGGATCTGGGGACGCAGCCTTTTAGTAGTTGTTGTCCTAGCTATGAGCGAGGCATAACGGGGACCTTCCCATTCTATCGACAGATGGGAGAACTGCGGTTTGGAACACTGAGTTGGTGGGATGCAGAGCCAGTGCCGGACACGGGAAGGCAGAGGGTGGTCTCCATGCTCCCACTTGGAGGTAAGCAATGCCCATGATTAGTGACAGAAAGTTCCAGGGAAGGCAGACCATAGCGCAGGGTTGCCACCAGTGTGTGTGGCCTCAGGAGAAAGAGGCTGGAGAAAGATAAAAATTAGAACCTTTCTGTCTTGCCCTGAAAGGCCTTTCGTGTGTCCTTCTAGCCACACCCTTCTCTCCTGGGCACAAGAGGCTGTGCTTCTTCTATCCCTCCTTCATAAACTTGACACCTAGGAACATATTTGTGACACTCAAGCTTCATTTTACTCACTTTTGAAGTTTATATGCGTCAGTCCATGTGCACTACTTGAATTCTTTGGTGTCTCTTTCCTCCAGTATTTATGAGGGTGAGTGAGCATGTGTGTGCATGTACAGTGTGTTTGCCGCTGAGTTTCATATTTTCCTATTGTCCCATTGTTACCTTATCTGAGCATGTCACTGCTCTCCCTTTCTGGAATTTTGATGTCCATTTGCACTGTTTCTAGAGTGCTTCAGTTGCTGTGCTGGTTCAATTCTTAGGCATTTAACCAAGTCCATGTGACTGTCCGAGGGGACTCTGTTGGGTCTTTGAGGAAGCGGGTCTTCAACTGGACCGGACTGGGCCAGGCCACTGCCTGGGGTGGCCATCTTGCACCTCCCCAGTTGTTAATGAGCCAAGTCGTACTTTCTCTGTACTTGACATGGTTAGTACTTCTTGTAGCCATACTACAGTGTGGGCAGTGGTGTCATCTCATAGCTTACATTGTGTCTCCCAAAGATGAATTATGGTGGACACCTTTTCATGGGCATCTTACCCACGTGTCTCCTCTCTGTTCAAGTCCATCGCTTGTCTTTTATTGAATTACTTTAATGGCTGTAGAGAGACTGTACATGTTCCTTTGGGTACCTGGGCTTCTTAATTCCTCTCCCTCCTGAGGCTCACATTTGTACTTAATGGATCGTGTGATAAATAGGCATTGTCGACCATGCTCAACTAGATCAATCTTGCTCTTCACAGTCACAGAGGTTTCGCCCTTATTTGCATCTGCTTCAACCCATAGGCCCTCAGGAAGCTTAGGTTGAGTCAAGAGGTGCTGAATATTAGATGGTATCACGCTGAGTGTGTGAGCGCTGGCAAGTGATGTCATGCTAAACTCTTCATCATTTACCTTTCTTCTCGGGGCTCTGTACCTCAGCTGTTTACCTGTTGGACTTGTTTATGGAAATGTCACCCAATCCCGTCTCTCTGCACCGCCATCACTGTCCCACCCAGAGCACCCATATCCATAAGAATTTGTTTCTGGCATGGGCTTGAGAGAACTACTGCTGTGCCTCTGGCCTACCAGTCCTGGCGGCCAGGGCCATCTCTCGTTTGCCTCTGCCTCCCATTGCCTGGCAGAAGGCCCAGTGTGGTAAGGAGCTGAGAAGTTGCCGAGAGGCCGTGTGACTCCGCCCCTCCTCTTCCCGCCATGCAGCTGTCCAGTTTCTTGCCCAATCTCTGCCCAGGCTTGAAATCTGTGAGATGCCACAGCAGGCTCCGCATCCTTCTCCACACCCCATGAGCTCATCACAGCAGTTAGCAACCGCAGGGGAATAGTGTGACAATCTCTGCTTCCTCTTTTGGGTCTGGGGCCCATTTTTTGGAAACCACCTGACACGGAGGTGTGTTCAGATTCTGTTGGAGGAACACAGCTAGGTCAGTGTGACCAGAAGACTTTGTCACCTGCTGGGGGTTAGCTGTTCTCTGCAGACTAGAGCCTGATGGGGGGCCAGGGGGAGGCAGGCAAGGGCTATGTCTTGTCCACTTGAACTGCTATAACAGAGTGCCCTGTGCTATGTGGTTTAACCAACCAATGTTTGTGTCCTACAGTTCTGGGGCCTGGGAAGTTTAATATCCTGGCGATGGCAGATTCGGTGTTTGGTGAGAGCCTGCCTCCTGGTTTGTGGATGGCTATCTTTTTGTTGTGACCACCCATGGTCAGCAGAGGGCTAGAGAGTCCTCAGGGGTCTCCTTTTTAATGTCTTCATCCCAGGACATGGTCGCCTCCCAAGATTCCACCTATTAGGGCCATCACATTAGGTGTTAGGATTTTAATGCCAAAGTCTGAAACATATTTGGTCTGTAACAGAGAAGAACATGGTGGGCCAGGACAGAACAGGGGGCATCACTTGTGGCAATACCAAGGCCAGGGGTAGGGGGCACCATGGAGTCAAGGAGGGGAAGTTTGGGCATCTTAGAGGCAGGTACCCTTTCTGGAATCCAAAGTCAGACTGTCTCCTCCTCTGATCGATCAGTGATGTCCCACCACATTCAGAGCCAATCCAGACTCCATCCTCTCTCTTCCCCTCCCGACTTCACTGCCATGTTCCCAGCATTCCTTGCTGCCCTCAGCAGAGCCATGATGGAGCATGGTGTAGGTGCAAAGACTTGCCTGTCCAGGAGTTTCCTTTTTGGAAATACCCTTCTTTAGGTTCTTTCCATGTGGGCTTTTCCTTCCCTTGGCTTGCAGCTTCCCGTCTGTCTTCCTGTTGCCTTTAAAGGCAGCCTGCTCTTACCCTCATGCCATCTACCACCGTTGGCATATCTGTTTACTTCTTATCTCAAACACCACACCGGCAAGGAGCTAGGCCCAGGTTGGTAGTCTGTCCCCAGCACTCAGCACAGTGCCCACACTTACTGCTTGCTCAGTGGGTCGCTGCTGTGTGACAGAGTACATGAGCAATCGAATGAGTGGTGAGGATGTGCTGAAAAGGAAATGGGCCGTGGCTCCAGCTCAGGCCCTGACTCAGTGTGCTCCTGGGCCAGCCACCGCTCCTGTCTGAATGGCAAGGAGATTAAGTCAGTCCTTTTTATGTGCAAGCACTCTGCATCGAGTAATAATTCAGCACCAGAAAGCGCTGCTCACTCAGTCCCCAGTGCCTCAAAAATAGAAGGTGAATAAATAAATTGCTGCCTGCCACCACTCCAGATATCGAGCACACTTGAGACTAGAATGCTGAAACTCTTTTCCGAGAGATTAAAGGGAGTTGATGATCCCTGGGGAGGATCTCTGCAGGTGTGCAAAGAAACCTGAGCTGGCCAGGTGTTTTGCGAGTGACCCCAAACCTGGTGACGTCACTCTCATCTTTTTGCAGCTGTGCGTGCACGATGGGCCTTTTTAAAGATTTCAAAGGTTATTAATTCTGCAGGGCTTTTAAACTGGGGCCACAGACCAAGTGTGCTGCTGGCTGGTTTTGTGGCTGCAGTAAGATACAGTGGGAAGGCCGAGGGTGCTGGCCTCCTTTCTGCACCACAGGCTTAAAGAGTCTGCCACGGTGCTGAGCCTCCTGGTCTCCGCTCAAGCTCAGGGCCGCCAGGCTTCTGATCTATGTCAGGAATTGCTATGAAGTGGAGACAACGAGCTTTTCTCATCAGGCCTGTTATGTGATGACGACATGATGAGTGCTTGGGGCGGGCAGGAGTGGGGTGAGATCCAGGCGCTCTGCTGGTTTTCCAGGTCACACAGATACAGGGGCACCACCTCCCACAGAGAGCTGTTCAAGGTAGAGGCTGAGGAACCATTTTCTTTTCCTTTTTTTTCTTTTCTTTCTTTCTTTTTTTTTTTTTTTTTTTTTTTTTGAGACAGGGTCTCACTATGTAGTCTTGACTGTCCTGGAATTGCTCAGTAGACCAGGCTGGTCTTGAACTCAAAGAGATCTGCCTGCCTCTGCCTCCCGAGTGCTGGGATTAAGTGTGTGCACTACCACGCCTGACAAGGAACTGTTAGTTTGTTTCTTAACACTCTGTTGGGTGGTGGAATATTTATTTTGTCAAAATGGAATTTGTAAACAGAGCTGATTCCAGGAGCATTATGGGACAATGAAGAAGGAGGAGAAGCCTCAACAAGGATCACTGGGAAAACGTGGATGGGAGAGCTGGCTTTTGTTTGTTAGTTGTCTGATGTTCTTGGGCCTGTTGGTATAACAAAGCACCACAGACCATCTGGCTATGAATGACAGAAGTTTATTCCTTATGGTTCTGGAGGCTGAGGAGTCCAGAGTCAGGAGTCCTGCAGACCAGGTGTCTGCCAAGGGCCTACCGCAGATGGCTGTGCTCCATGGCTATCTTGACATCATAGGTTCCCTGGGTCCCCTTCATAGGGGCATTAATCCATTTCTGAGGCTCTGCCCTTGAGACAGAACTGCATCCCCAACCTGCTAGGCCCTCGTGGGTTAGGATTTCACGGTGTAAAACTGGGGAGAATTCAGACATTCAGACCAGGTCACAGTCGCTCAGCAAGACCTTCCCAGTTCACTGATGAGCTCAGGAATGGCTTAGGACAGGAGGTGGGGTCCTGACAGGATGCTGGCTCTCATGTCAGAGCACCAGACATACTGGGCCCTCCAGGTTTGTGGCAGCTCAGTGGCAAGTGCCTGGATGAACTTGTCCACCTTTCAATAAGTCACTCAACAACAAGCTTGGGTCACACCTGGGCCAAAGGCAGAGGTCAGCAGTGACCACTGGGTGCTTTGATCCTCCGGAACCCTCAGTTGAGTAGGAGAGGAGGGCGTGCGGGGAACATGATCTGGAATAGAAGGCCAGCTAGGCTGATGGTGCATGACATATGGGCAGCTGCTCCTCACAGCTTGGAGCACAAGGAGAGTCCCATGGGAACTGTGGGGTGTGGCCACTGAAGGATAGGTAAGGCCCCGGATAAAGGGGCAGAGAAGGGTAGGGACTTGACCAGCGACTCCTGCTCTGGGTAGCTGGCCCACCGTAGGAAGATAATAGCCTCTGGGAGCCTCTGTTTCTTTACCTTAAGAGTGAGAGCCAGAGCAAGAGAGCACAAAGGACTGTCTCCAGCGATCATCCGGCTGCTGTGGTTCCACCCTAGTAGGCAATACTGCCCATATTTAGGGCAGGTCTTTCCCACTCACTTCACCAAATCTTCTCTGGAAACACCCTCATTAGACACCCAGAAATGCGCTTTGTCCATTTTCTGGATGGTCTCAGTTCAGTCAAGTTGACCACCGACATTAACCAT